GCAGCAACAATCTGTAGACCAGTACTTAACTCCCTCTGTCAAAGATAAAAAGTGCTCTTGTCAAAGACAAACACTCAAGCACCAGATAAAATCACATGAAAGACTTCACACTCTCATAGTGGAGGACAAAAACTTCACACTCCCGGTTCAACACACATGTTGAACACATCCACATACTATAAAATTAATCTTGATTCTTACAGATCCAGATACTCTAGCTCCTTGAGAATACATCCAAGCACTCTAAACTATTCACTCAACAAGGACATATCTGATAATCGGCCTTACAAATCCACACAAGTTATCATGACTCTTTGGATAGGAAAGATGTCATGCATACTTGGTTTGACATTACTCACATACTCTAGAGAAAAAATTCTCTGTTTGCTTGCTTCATAATCTTTTCTAGAGTTACTTGCAACAGAAGAAATCACCTCTCCACAAGCATTATGATCATATCACTATATGATACCCTTCCCCTACACCTATTAACAATTGCTGGTACATAGGAAATATTCAATATGATAGTAGTCATGCATTCACCATACACTCCATTGTAGACATGGTCAGAAGCTTCACATCCTACTTCACCATAGTTAGAAAAGCATATTTTGAATATAATGTTGAGCATCAAATTTCACATCCATAATCCCAAGCATCTTCCAAAGACACTCACTAACAAGCATGATGCTACAACATTATTTAGGACATCAGCTTCTTACCACATAAACCATTCACTTTGGTTCTTGATACACCTTCCAGATGACTTATTACTTGCATAGATGTCCTTATTTTAACCTCCAAGGCCAGATCATAGATACATGCAGCAAACCACATTTTACACACCTTAAGAAGCTTTTTCTCATAAGCACAATGTCCAAACCTCCTGTCTGACTTTAAGGTGTTAGACACCATCCTTATACACCTAAAGAGGAGATTCCCTCTAACATGTACCAGAATAACTAGCTTCAATCAACAAGGGATATACAGACTTCTGAGCAGAATATGTTTCCCCTTAGCTATTCAATCTATACTTCTCCAAGACTTCATAATGCACTGACTTCCTTTAGGTGCAACACTTTAGTTCTTGCGAGAACTAGTGTTCCATTATGTGAAGACACCACATAACTGGATCCTAAGCTTAAGGAGGGCCTCCCTTGAGTATACACAAATAAGTATGGTTATTTGACATGCTTTCCTACAAAGGTGATCAATGGTCTTCTGATCCACCAGTAAGACTGGATCTTCAAGTTCTAAATCCTCCTTGCACCAAAAATCTAGAATTCTCATACCAACCAACTTTAGATTAGACTCCAACAAAAATATGTAAACACCAAGAAGTTAATAGTTCCTTTGAACATCAACCAATCTTCAAGATCAGTTCTCTAAAAATCATCAAGATAACTAAGAGAATGTCAGATTTTTGATCTTGACCTCCATCTTTATAGAATCTTGATGGAGGAATCTTTAACACTTATTCGGAATAATACATACTACAAGCTCCTTCATAGAAAAAGGCCTGGATCTTGTACTCCTATCAATTAGATCAGAAATAAATTGACCTAAGGGTATTCACCAGACTGATGATGACTTCACCTCTATCAACATCTTCATTCAAGACAGTTTGTGGATACTTATGTAAAAGAAGAACATACACTTGTATCTGTCTTCCAGAACTCCCACTTGGCAAGAGTTAATCTGATTCATAAGACAAGTTCTTGAGTTCTTGCAACTAATAATGTTGCACTCTAGTGTAACATCTAGACTTTGGATCTCTTGAACTCCAATTTAAAAGAATAATCAATTAAATACTTGTGAATGTCACAAATAGAAATTGATTTTAAATATTTGTGTAGATGGACATACACGTGATCTATAGGATGTCAACACTATAAGAACATACATCATGCATTCTCCCTTGTCAAGGATAATGTTGAGACATCAAGGCTGACATCCTTGACTCAACCTGCCTTTTACCTATTATGGCTTTCTCTTGCAGACTTAGCTGGAAAAAACTCATCAATAGACTTGATCAAGCTTTAGGATTAGAGAGTTACTCACAGATGGTGAAACATAACTCACCTACAACAGAGATCACGAATTTATCTCTTCAAGAACAAAAATAAATTGCTCTTGTCTTTTTGTAGTCACTCTCATGTCCATTGTCTTGAATAAAACCAGAGAATCTTCATCTTAATCATCTTCTCTTCTGAGCTCTTTTCACAAATAAAAGTGCCTTTATGAGTGAACTTGAGAGAAATCTCAAGTATCTTTGGCTGCTTCATAATGCTGGTATAAGAAATCTCCCAAGTAATACACCATCATAGGATAAATCTTCAGAGGAAACCAGATCACAATTCTCTTCCCTTAATGGTATTCTAAGAATAAATCTTTCTGAAGCCTCAACACTAGAGACACAAGGAACTGTCAGAGGTTTTACAGCGGAACACAAATAAAAAAACATCCTCAACAACCTTCAGGCAAGATGTCAGGACATCTTTTAAGACACCAATCATTAGAAAACCATCTGAAGTTTTTATGCTGGAATCAAAAAGCTAAAAACCTAGCTTCCAATACCCATGATCCTATCAGTTATGGTTAGGAAAAATCACACATAAACCAGACTCACATCATCTCAGCACCAAAGCAACATGCTTGACACCTTCAGACAATACCATTAATCTCTATGTCACACATAATCAATACTCCCTCTTAAGGGAATATTCAAACCACAATATGAATAGTCTAAGTTCACACATCCACCCCACTCAAACCATTCTTCAGAAAAAGATAAATTCTCCTAGATATCAGAACATACAATATGACCTCCCAATACCAACATCACTGGCCTCTCAGCAACATAAAAGAGTACACAAACAACCACAGATCATTGTAGTAGAAACCTCATTCCTTGTCCATAGTACCAGAAAATATATTCCCTTGATCTCATCTAGAAATAGAACAGGATGTCTGCTCTAATACCAATTGAAATTCTGGTATTCAGATCTTAGATGTCCTAATACATGTAAGGGCATTGATCTTTGAACATAACACACAATGGCAAGGTAAAAATACATAATATTGAAAAGTAAAGGCACAAACATAATTGTTAACCCAGTTTGGTGTACAACAACACCTACTCTGGGGGCTACTAAGCCAGGAAGGAAGTCCACTATTAGCAGTATTAGTTCAAAGCTAAAATAGTCCCAAGTTTATAACTTCTCACCTAATCAATACCCAATACTACTTCTACCTAGATCTTCCCTAGATATGAGAAATCGCCATCCCACTTCCAATCACCGCAGGGATAAAAAACTTATCCCAATCAAAGGGTTGTCTATAAACAAGTCATAACCATAACAACTTGAAACCAAAACTAAACCAAAGTTTACACTTCAATCACAATACTTAGTCTTGCTTAAAAGCTTCGACCAAGAATAATTCTCAAAGTTGTTTACAAGCTTCCTCCAAGAATAATAATCAACTATATGCTTAAAAGCTCATGAGTGATTCATATTCACAACTCAACTAACAACAGTCATACTCTTCTATCAACATGATATTAGAGAGGCTCACAAATAACACAAACCAACTCTTCTAGAGAATGGCTCACAAATTAAGCCCTAATATATGATACTTTTACATACTTGACTCGTATCTTCTTTAGGTTTAGAATCTTCTATTTATAACCTTTTTTTGGGCTGGATTTGGGCTTCAAAACACAGCAAAACGGCTGCTAAAAATGCTGCAAGATATTCTCCACAAATTTAGGACTTCAATCATTTGGTTTCCTAAAAAATCTCCATATTTAGAAACTGAGAATACTCCTTGAAAATAGATAGAATCTTCTATCCTTAAATTGAGCGCCACATAGGATTGCATAATATTCTCAGAATATTCTGCGTCTGTAACAAACTAACAGTTTACCAAATTCAAGTTGTACACAAACACGATGTCGAATGATTCTGCATAGGACATCTTTGTTCGACATGTTTCCCCGGGTGATATAACATCTTATTTCAACATGTATATGCTAAGTTAGTTTTGCCAAACATAATGTCAATCACACAAAATAAAGAATTAACAATCTCGACCACTTACAGACCTAAATGAGTTAATAAAGAGTCAAGTTCTTAGCTCATCGTGATAAGCCTCAACAGACTCCAGACCTGCTATATGTTGGCCAGGAGAAAAGGCATCAACATCAATACCCCTAATAATGAGACGATCATGGCTCAACCCTCTAATTCCTTTAATACAATCATTTTTATTTTTGACAATATAGGAACTCTAGGGTTCACTGCCATCTTCGATAAAACCCTCACCATAACCAAAACTACCACTGAGAATAATGAGGTTTGCAATAGGCCAGTGAACTACCAAAAGTGCAACATTTGGAATTTTCAGGTTTACTATTTCAATGCAAGATGAAGCATCACTTGCATCGTCACCACTAGGTATGTTTTGAACATTCTCATAGTCGTATCCCATATTAACCATGACTAAAACAAGGAAGGGAATAACAACAAAATGTAAACAAGGAGAGAAATGATACTTGAACAAATTGAAGGTTGAGGAAGTGGTTATGATAGAGGATAGTTTTGAGGGTGGATGAACCAAGAAAATGCAGAATCCAAAGAAAGAAAAGACAAATAAAATAGGAATAATGAGGCTCATAGAAAAGCAATTGAAGTTCGTTGAAGAAAAATTACAATATGTGTAAAGAGTGGACATGTGGTTAGAAAGGTAAAGTAACCTTTTATATATTGAAGTGAGATAGGTAAATCAATGGTCCTAAATAAAAGGAAACAATAGATGAAAAGCAAAAATTGGATTTTCTCTATATTGCAACAACACTTGATTACACTTGAGTATCGTAGAGGGAAGCGCCACACCCTAGTCTAAGGAACTAGGGCTTGTGTAAGAACAATCACACGAGACGTTTCAATGACGAGACTAGCATTTAATGCACTTGTTTTCAAGATCACTCACGCCAGATCCTAAATCTTTCCCACTTCTCCAAGTAGTGAGTCTGACACGATAAGCCGACCTAATTTTCTAAAAGACTTCTCACTGTCGCGCCATGGCAAGCCTTGGAGGCAACAATTCTGAGGTCCAATCATTAATCCATAGTCACTCCACCAAGGCATTATAGGTATAATGTAACCATATTTTAGAGTTTCACAATGAATCCACACTATGAACTGTTGTCTATCGTTAGATGTCATCAGACGGCCTCCTGTATTTAATGTCAAAATAGTAGTGGAAGTCAATAATCATCTTTCATATATAAGAAATCACACGTGAAATCAGAGAAATTCACACACCAAATAGATACTAGTACGATGATTTACATGAAAATTAAAACAAAAATTAAAAAAAAAATACTCACTTCATCTTATTATTTTATACAAATTAAAATAAATATATTAATAAAAAATTATTATTATATATCAGTGTAATCACATTTATTTTAAACACAAGTAATAAAATAATAAATTTAAGTAATACATATAATATTAATTAAAAAATATAATTGAAAATTTTAATAATATTAAATTAATGAGCTAGACCTAGATATGGATGCAATATAGGTCAAACAATACTTGTAGTTGTAGAATCCCAATATCATGAAAATTTTGTTACTCCTGTGCTACTAGTAGCATTCCAATCTCGTTTTCGAAAACCAATTTTTGAGGCATTATTACTTGAGTTATGACTTTTGACTAATGAAGACTGTGGCAGCAAATTAAAGGGCGCAAACTCCAAAAATATTGTACGACACTGACATTAGTACCGTCCAGTCGTTGACTGCATCGATATTAGTACCCTACACAGTTGTTGTTGTCTCTTCAAATTGAAATTATTTTTTATATATAACTATTAAGATACTTTAAGATACTTTACATGGGTATGACATCCGTATTTTATTTTTAAAATATAATAAAAATAAAATAATATTTTTTAAAAGCGATATCCGTACATATAATTCTTTTAATATATATATATATATATATATATATATATATATATATATATATATATATATATATATATATATATATATATATATATATATATATATATATATATATATATATATATATATTTTAGTTTGAAATTATTATCAAAAATATTTAAACTAATAGTAAAGTTATTCTATTATTATTTAATATTTTGATCAGTAATGTAATGTTTTTATTATATTTAATATTTTGATTAATAATTTTATATTTTCGTTATTATTAAATTTTTTGATCAGTAACTTCATGTTTCCGTTAATATTCGATATTTTGATCAGTAATTTTATGTTACCGTTAATATTCAATATTTTGATCAGTAATTTATTTCCATTAGTATTCAATATTTTGATCATTAACTTCATGGTTTCATTAATATTTAATATTTTGATCAATAATTTCATGTTTCCGTTAATTTTCAATATTTTGATCATTAACTTCATATTCTTATTAATATTAAATATTTTGATAAGTAACTTCATGTTTCCGTTAATATTCAACATTTTTTATCAGTAACTTCATGTTTCCGTTAATATTAAATATTTTGATCAGTAACTTGATGTTCTTGTTAATATTCAATATTTTTATCAGTAATTTCATGTTTCCGTTAATATTCAATATTTTTTATCAATAATTTCATGAATCAAAATTTTGAGATAATATGTCAACTGATTATACCTGAAAGTTTTCAATTTTATTTGTTAGTTATATGTACATCATCATGTATGGGGTATAAACACTCTTGAAGTATCTTATGAATGAATTTATCACCATATTTTCACACTCAATTACTCAATTATTCACCAACATTGTGATTCCAAATTCTAAGATGTATCGTGTGTTTGTTTCATGGATTTGAATTTTATTCTCAAGAATGTGAGGTTGGAAATCATATTCAATGTTTGTTTCACGTTTTCTCAAATTATACCCGGATATCTTTTATTCTTTGTAATATGATTTACTCATGAATTTGATATTTTTTATACTCATGTAAAAGGATGAGAATCTTACATTCTCATGAATTTGTTTCTTAAAATTTTAATTTAAAGAGAAAACAAAGGATTAAACCCGCTCTCTTCTTCATGGACAGTGTCTTTTCAGGCTTTCAATTTCCAACTTCAACTTTACTTTGGTTAGTTCTTACATTTCTAACTCAATGTGCCATGCATCTTTTCTTATTTATTTTTCCCTTCTTCATTAATTTTTTTTCCTGATTCAAACTAGATTATGTACTTTTACTTGAATCTCATGTAATAAAATATGTATTTCATTTCATGATTAAGTTGTTAATTATCAACGTTAGAAACTGATCTTTAAAAGGTTTAGATTAGGTTTCATATAGTTTCAGCTGGGTTTGCAAAATGTTTCCTATAATAAACCATTTTATAATTTGATTTCATAATAGTAAATAACTACTGATTTTTATTTAATGAAACTCATCATCATCCATTACCAAAGCAAAAAATAAAGTTTGATCTCACTTTGTGAGCAATAAACTTCAATCCCCTAAAACAATACCTTTTATTCTAATATCACAAATATAAACCTCTCTAATTTATCACTCATTTGTTATAACTTTTAGCAATGTCAAATTCCAACAGTTTCAACACATGAATGTAAATTTGAGGCTTGATATATTCACTTTCGAAACATAATTAAAAGAGTTTGTCGTGCTCGAGTTTGGAATGAAATCATGTTGAACCAGAGAAATCAGTCTGCAAAATGCTGATTTTACAGAGAATTCCAAAGGGTCACACCCCCATATAAACATGTATGGACTTTCAGGATTAGCTGATATAGAAATCAGAATATTAAGAAGCAGGTCCCATTCAGTTTTGCATAAAACTGAATCAACAATCAACCTCTTATCCCCATAAAAGCCATAACATGAAACTTGTAGAACCAACAACAACCATAAGATTTCAAAACCAAAAAATAAGTAAAAGAAACTCAAAGACATGAGACCAAACCTTCTGATCGCATCACCTTTTTTTGCACCACCCACACATTCTGAACCGCAACTGACAATCTCTGACTCCAATCAGAAAACCTCATGATCGCAGTACCACCATGCGACCCGCATATGACCTGGAATCCTTTGCGGCAGTCTAACTCTACACCTCTGACACATTGTGTGTTATCTCAGCGTAGTATGTTCTGATGTTTTCATGCAAGTAAACTAAGTCAGAATGTACTAAAGGAGATGGAAAATTGATAATCCAAATGCTATAATGGATAATGGAATTGTATACTAAAATTTGTTACATGTTAACCAAAATGGAAATAATAGATGACAGGTATAGTCTAGAAATATCAGACAAGGTTCAGCTTTCTCTGGTGTCGAAATATCAACCAAAGCTTCTCCTACTGTGAGATATACTACTTTAAATCCAAAGGTATCCAAAATCTTCAACATATGTAACTTTTCCATCATATTTCCAATAGGATTTACCAACACAAACTGCAGTAGCAAATTATAATATGTTAGAAAGCGAATAATCGAAGTTTTTTTAGGCCGTCTGAAATCAATGTCAATTAGTGTTTGTACCTGAAGTGATCTCTTTTCAAGTATCTTTATAAGTTCACCTAAAGTTTCAAGTCCACTTGTGTCTATTGCTGTAATAGCTGAAAGAACAAAATATTGTTAAGCAAAGATGTTCAAAGCCGATCGATAGTGCATGATTGTTAAACTCTAACCCCACGATAAACTTCAAACAATGAAAAGAAAGAAACCAACTAACTAATAGCAGAAATCTCATAGAAAAGATGAAATATGCAACTAACCCCACGATATCTTTCTGCTAAAAGATTCAAACTTTATAGTTTTTTTAAATCAGTTGCAATATTTGAACAGTCATCTGAAGCAATATTTTTACCAATTATTCCAGTGACTTAGACCAACCGTTGGTAGCATCCATCCCATTAATTGCTCTCCACCCAATTGACACAATTGAACAAAGCGGCAGTTCCTCCATAACATGCATTAGTTGGATCAACACTACCAATGTCTGTATTTCCATATCTGTTTGTTCCAGACAAGTAGATAAATATTGTATTAGAAAGCTATACATATAAACTGTTTGATCAAGAAAAAGATAAGGCTCTTATAAGCAATTCCAATTTGGTTATTAAAACTACTGTCATCCAATAGTTTTATTATATCATAGAGTGAAGCATTAACTATAACATTTCATGAAAACAGCATAAGCAAAGTCGTAAAAGATGCATAGAAGAAACCACTAAAATATGCATTTTGATTTGTTGTAACCCTGCATGTAATACGACCATGAATATCAGGCCAAAATTCTTCAGTACTCTCATACTCTTGGTTATACACATTTATAATCTGTCATTCAGTTTAAGCCATTAATATTATACAAAATTGGTAATCATGTTCACGGTAAATATGTAAAATCGGTAACGAAGAGAATCAAAACAGCATGAATACTTACCTGATGATGGTATACAAGATATTCCAAACCGAAGAACACAATAATGTATGGAAGTAGAAATGCCGTGACCACAACATACACAAGGCCAAGCAAAAATTATAGTATAATGGAAGGAGTTGGAGGAAATCATTGGCTTATCTTGCTTGAGAAAATTGGGTTTCAGCATCAAAATCATTGGCTTACCCGCTCGAATCTCGATTCCATACTTCCTGAAATAACAACATCAAAAAAGTCAGATACAAAGAGGAGGAAGGAAGAAGAAAAGGGAGAAGGAAGAAGAAGAGGAACAGTTGGTGAGACAGAGAAAGTGAAACGGTCGTAGAGTTAATAGAAATCGCCGTAGAAGAAGATGGAAGGACAAAAAGAAGAAAGTGTCGATGCTTGATTTTGGATATAGTATAATGGAAGGAGTTGGAGGGTGAAACATCAGAAACCGCTGCCATATGATGATGGAAGAAGAAAATAAATCGTGGAAAATCAATTTCGTGACCGCCATGAATTTGTGGAAAATTGGAAATGGACCAAGGATTTTGGGAAAACAAATTAACTGAGCACTGAGCTGTGAGCAACCCACGTGGTGAATTGTGGGAAAAGCAGAGAATCTCAAAATCTGAAATAGAGAATAATAGAAGTAGTCAGGTGGAGTGTTTTTGGAATAAAATGATAAAATTGTCAGAATTGATAGAATGAGTTTTCTTATATTATTGATTAAAAAAAAATGCTAATCAGTATTTTTGGAGCACTATTCAAATATTTAAAGTATTAATTTTTTTAAAGAATACATGTAATTAATATATTAAAAATTGAATTAATTAATTTTTATAAAAAAATATTTTTTTATTAGTATCTTTAAAGAGTGCTTTAAAATTCGTCGTTAACATAACCCACTAAATTTTTTTTACTTAATTTTACTAAATGATTTGGATATGAATTAAAAGAGAAAATTATTTCACTAAAATACTATTATCATATATAAATAATAACTCAAAATTTTAACTTTATAAATATTATAATGATAAATATATATATATATATATATATATATATATATATATATATATATATATATATATATATATATATATATATATATATATATATATATATATATATAATCGTACCTGACTAGAATGGATTGTCAAGGTCCACGAACTTCAAGTCGAGCGAGCAGCAGTTGAATGTGAAGTGGATGGGGAGATCTGCAAGACACTCTGATGTTAAAGTAAGATTCAGAGTAAGTGCAAGCAAGTATGAGAGTATGAGTGAATGAATGAATACTTGACCCTCTCAAGTGAGAGGGTATTTATATCCTCTAACATTGGGTCAAGGTCTCCATTGTTGGGCTGAGGAAGCAGGCCCAAAATAGAGACTGTCAGGTCCTACGTGCGTAGTGGGGGCAAGCACGTGGTTCTGAACCTGAATGGACTCCTCCGAATTATGAAGAGGATATGGATGCGGTATTTTCGGGATCAAGAGGACTCTGTGACATTCAGAGGTGTAGGGTGTCAGCCCTACGGGGAGGATGCTCGCGAGGACCTTCTGAATATCGTTGGTCCTCCTCGCCATTCGTGAGGTTGTCCCCGGAGGACATATCCTGGTCGACGAGATGAGTGAAAGATGCACGCGAGGACCTCCTGAGCGTCATTGGCCCTCTTCGCCGGTCATAGGGTAATCCCCGGAGGGTAAAGCCTGGTCGACCCGAAAAGTGGAATCATTTCCCAACATGGTCAAGGGAAGTAGGGATCATTATGACCCTGAGCGCGTAGGTGGCGAGGAGATGGGTGGTTGATACGCTGTTCGATGCGATACTCTGCCTTCCGCGCTAGCCCTATAAATAGTGCCTAAGGGTTCATTTGTAAGATTTCCAAACTCCCACTCTCTCTTTTCTCCCTAGCACCCTCAGTTTCTACCATCCTCTATTTCTTTCTCCAACAGTAAGCGCCTTCAGGACATCCGTCACGGACTTTCTACCAAACTTCATCAAGTAAGTGTTTTCCAGTAATTCTTGTCGTTTATGGTTGTTTTTTTTATAAATCTTGACGAATTTCACTACCCGGGGTATTTTCGCTCGGGATATTCATACCTCTCTCTGTGATACTCACAAAATGGCTCGTGAAATTCACCTGCTCCCCGCATAACTCATGAAATTTCTCGGGGAACTCATCCCCTCTCCGCGAAACTCATGAAACTGCTCGAGAAATCCATCCTATCCTCGTCACCTTCACGAGGTTTCTCGAGGGATTTATATTCTCCTCGTGGCGTTCAAGAGTTTGTTTGCTTTTACTGAATGAGGGTTTGTCGACCTGGTTTGGTCGTAGCAACCCCCTTTCACTTGTATTGCAGTGGAAGGATGAATTTGATTTAGCTTTCGAATTCACTAGTTTCCTCTGCTTTACAGGTGAAATGGCCGAACCAAACGAGACATCCGAGCAGGTCGAGGTATAAGAAATAAGTGGAGACAACGAGGGTGTCCAATTGATCGACACGGTCACCGATCCGTCATTGACCTGGGTCGGGCCAGAACCCTAAGGAATAGCCTCAGTCTCTAGGCATACGAGGAGAGAAGCATACACCATTGTCGAATATGGTGGAGACCAATGGGTTTCTGGAGGAATTTCATGATCTTTCACTCGACACCTACGACCAGAATATACTCGTCTTTCCCAGAAGATCGCTTCCCCATGTACAAGATCGTCTTCAGGGATTTGGGGCTTCGTCTGCTCTTCAGTGAGTTTCAAATGGGCATCTTCAATCATTTATCCTTGGTGCCTGTAAAATGAAGCTTCTCAAATGCACTTATGTTTTGATCAAGACAAACCATGAGGGACAAAGAAGGCAAAGATTATTGATCAAGGTAAAAGCATCTATGGATAAAGTCTTCAGTTCAAGCACTTAGCAAATTTCAAGGTATAATGATAATACTTACTTTGAACTTAAGACATAGATGCTCAATGGTGAAAAGAAATATTTTATATTGTCCAAACCTTTACTCAAGTTTTTCTAAGCTAAAAATCATTTTTCACTTGAGTGCAATCGATTTACATATTAGTCAAATTGATTGCATGCTTCAATTTTTTCAAATCTTTTGCTACTGTTTCTCAGTGCGATCGATTTCCATATTAATGAAATCGATTGCATGCTTCGATTTTTTCAAATCTTTTGCTACTGTTTCTCAGTGTAATCGATTTGCATGTTTGGGCAATCGGCACTCAATCAATTTTTGCTACTGACTTCACATGCAATCAATTTACACTCTTGTGCAAATCGATTGGACACTCAAAACTTTTGAAATTCTAGCTGTTGAAACCCCGTGCAATCGATTTACACAAAGGGTGCAATCGATTGCATGCCACACGATTTTGAAAAACAACAGCTTTGCACATGCTTGTTCATAACACCATTTCATGGAAACCTTTCACTCAATCTTGGCAATTGTTCATGATTCGTTTATAGAACTTTATGTTGTTTCAAAAAGGTGCTATGAACATATAAATACTCATTTTAAAAATCATTTTCTACACCTCTTCCAATTATATTTTTCTGAATTCTCAAAAATCAAACTCAAGCTGCTATACATTTTCATACACAGGTTTTTTGCACACTTTCACATATTGTTAATCAGAAAACTTTGAGAATTATATATCTTGAGTTATTGTATATTATTATCATTGGAAGAGAAGATAAATTCATTGATTAAATTACTCAAAGTGATCATTACCACTCAAACTCACTCAAATCAAATATTGATAAATACTTACTTATTTTTCAGGATTGTTGGAAATAAGTTTAAGTGGTTTTATAAATCTTGTCTTTCCAGGATTGTTGGATACAAGTGAAGTCACTTTGAGAGGATTGTTCTCATTGTTTACATAGTGAAAATCCAAGAGGATTGTTCTTGGTCCAAGAAGGTTGTTCTTTGTTTTGGGTAGTTCTTGTTTAAGTTTGCCACAATAAGGAAATCTCTTTCATGTTGAAAGGGGACTTGAGTACTCTCGGACTGTGAGGGGAACTATGATATATCGCTTGTGTCTCTTTATTTTTCTTCACTTTACTCTTTCATAAACTCACCATAATCCAGAAAAATAATATCCATCATCATTAAAACCAGAATTTTTTAAAGTACCTAATTCACCCCTCCCTCTTAGGCGCACTTCGTACTTACAATTGGCATCAGAGCATGTTATAGGTAACTTGTTCCTAAAAGATCCAGAATAGCTTCCGCAAATCAAAATCTCGTTTTCAGAGATGGTGGTAGTAACAACAAGCCTCCTCTATTTTGTGGTGAATATTTTGACTTCTGGAAAGTACGCATGAAGGCACATCTAGAAGCACAAGGAGAAGAAATATGGAATGCCGTCAAGAATGGTCCATTTATCCCTATAACGGTAATCAATGGTGCTGGCTCATCAAAGCCTAAAACTGCATGGGACGAAGATGATAAGAAGAAGGTTCTCTATGATAAAAAGGAAATAAACCTTCTTCAAGGTGCACTTAGCATGAATGAATTCTTCTGTGTCTCGGCATGCAAAATAGCAAAAGAAATATGGGATACCTTGGTACAAACTCATGACGGAACTGTTGAAGTTAAAAGATCAAGACTAAATACCTTGAGTCAAGAATACGAATTATTTCAAATGCAGCCCGGAGAAACCATTCTTGACCTACAAAAGATATTTGTGCACTTGACAAATCATCTAAGTACTCTTGGTAAGACTTTGACGAATGATGAACTAAATCTGAAAGTACTTAGATCCTTAACTAGGGAATGGCAACCAAAGGTAACGACAATTTCAGAAAAGAAAATTCTCTCCTCCATGACGTCCGCAACATTGTTTGGGAAACTTCAAGAATATGAAACGGAACTCGGAAGACTTGAAAAACATGAAAATCAAGAGAAGAAATCCAAGAATATTGCTTTGAAGATAGATTCCAAGGAAGTTGAAAAGGAAGACAATCCGAAAGAAGATGAAAATTTCATGCTTCTTGTTAAAAGGCTTGGTAAGTTCTTTGGTAGAAATGACAAATCCTTTTCTCATTCAAAAGGAAAGAAACAATTTAAGAAAAAGGAAGCTTCAACATCAACACAAGAAGTCACATGTTATGAATGTGGTAAGCAAGGTCATATCAAGCCGGATTGTCAGAAACTCTCCAAGAAAGGTGGCTACAAAAGTAAAAGGGGATTCAAGAACAAAAAGGCCTATGTTGCATGGGAGGATAACAAAATAAGTTCCTCATCCGATTCTGATAGTGATGAAAGTGCAAATCTAGCATTGATGGCCTCACACCATTCCGATGATGAAGATAATGAGGTTAGTAATGAATTTTCTCTTTTTGATAGTGATGCACAAGGTGCTATAGATGAACTATTGAATGAATGCAAAATTTTGTATAAAACTATTTCATCACAAAAGAAACAAATTTCATCCTTAGAAGAAAAATGTGA